AAAATAAATAAACGTTGAAAAAAAATTTTTTTAAATAAATAAATAAATAAAAATAAAAAGCAAACACAGAGTTAACTGACAATTTTTATTACATCTATATTAATGGACATGGTCATATAAATTTGATATCTCCAAGTAAGCAGAAAAACAAATGTCACACATTAACTAATTAATATCTGATAACCCTGATAATACCTTGATACTCAATATCCTAATAATCTTAGATTTAAAGCAGAAACAGCCATTTAAGTAATGAATGGATGCTAAGGACAGAGACAGAAATGAAAAGAGAGGCTATCATTTCATGAAAAATGCTTCAGGTAGTCACATGAGGAGAAAATGACATAAACAGGGAAAAGGTTTGATCGTGGAACTTAGCAAAAGCAATACATGCAAGAAATGTTGTAACATTGCCAATCTATAGGGGCTCCTGGGTGGCTCAGTCGGTTAAGCAACTGACTGTTGATATTGGCTCAGGTTGTGATTTCATAGTCGTGAAATTAGGCTCAATGATAAGCAGAGACTGCTTGTGTTCTCTCTCCCTCTCTATCCCTCCCCTGTTTGTTTTCTCTCTCTTCCCTCCGTCCCTCCCTCCCTCTCTCTCATAAATAAAAAAAAAGTGTGAATACTTAAAACTGTTTACACCAAAAAGATGTTATTATTTTCATCATCATAGCCTTACAAAGATGGCATACTTTATATGACCTTCCATTAAAAGATGACCTTTTGTCTTTTTTTTTTTAACAAACACAGTCTATTCTTAAAAACACTTTCTACAAAGTTATATTTATTTTTTTTTTAATTTTTTTTTTCAACATTTATTTTATTTTTGGGACAGAGAGAGACAGAGCATGAACGGGGGAGGGGCAGAGAGAGAGGGAGACACAGAATCGGAAACAGGCTCCAGGCTCTGAGCCATCAGCCCAGAGCCTGACGCGGGGCTCGAACTCACGGACCGCGAGATCGTGACCTGGCTGAAGTCGGACGCTCAACCGACTGCGCCACCCAGGCGCCCCTACAAAGTTATATTTATAGTAAGACAATGGAACAGCCCCCAAACCCCTTTAGAAAGTTTTACTTTTAGTTCCTTGAGCACAGCAAGCACTATATAATGGCTTAAAAATAAAGAAAAAATTGGGCCTCCATATTTTACCTAAAGAGCTAGTATCAGTAGTAGTATATGTTATGAGCTGAACTGTGTTGCCCCAATATTCATATGTTGAAGTCCTAACCTCCAGTAGCTTATAATTTGACTGTATTTGGTGACAGAGTCTTTAAAGAGGTAACGACTTAATTTTAACTTTATTAAGGTGGACCTAATTTGACTTGTGTCCTTATAAGAAAGAGGACATTTGGACACATATAGGTACAAAGAGAACACAATATGAACACACAAGGAGATGACAGCCACCTATCCAAGCCAAGGAGAAAAGGTCTCAGTAGAAACCAATTCTGCTGACACCTTGGTCTTGGACTTCTAGCCTACAAAACTGTGAGAAAATAAATTTCTATTGACTGGCCACCAAATCTGTGACACTTGGCTATCATAGCCCTAGAAAACTAATACAGTATAACACTATGGTGTGGATGTTTTCATATTAAGATCTGGTATTCATCAAACCTTTTTTCTTTCAGTTCCAGACTAATTTCTTTAAAATCCTGGCCTTTGCTAATTTTTAAAAAATGTTTATTTAGGGGCTCAGTCAGTTAAGCATCTGACTTTGGCTCAGGTCAGGATCTCGGATTTCCTGAGTTCCAGACCCTCCTTAGGTTCTGTGCTGACAGCTCAGAGCCTGGAGCCTGCTTCAGATTCTGTGTCTCCTTCTCTATCTGTCCCACCCCTGCTCACACTCTCTCTCTCTCTCCAAAATAGATAAACATTAAAATCCTTCTTTCACTTTCACAATTAAACGTTTATTTATTTTGGAGACAGAGAGAGAGAGAGAGAGAGAGAGAGCGAGCACGTGTGCTAGTGGGAGAGGGGCAGAGAGAGAGGGAGATACAGGATCTGAAGTGAGTTCTGCACTGACAGCAGAGAGCCTGATATAGGCCTGAACCAACCAACCGTGAAATCATGATCTGAGTCAAAGTCAGAAGCTTAACAGACTGAGCCACCCAGTAGCCCCTGGCTTTTGCTAATTTTAATGACAGCTCTAGTCGGAAAGCAATATGAAAGTAGGAACTATTCAGGTTAGAAAGAATACTGGCCTTAGACTTAAGAGGTCTTTTAATCATACTGTACTTCACTTACACATTCAATGAAGTGTGGAATTATGATACCCTTAACATTCTTTTCTAGTGTCTATATATCTCTGTTCCATACTTTTAATCTTAGTTGTTTACCATCCAACTATAAAATGATCCTTCAAAGTGTAATCTTGATAAATGAGATGTGAGAGACTTCTAAAGACAGAGAAAAAGTCAATGAGAAACCAAGAAGTAAATGAATTTACTTGAGGTGACATACTTCACCAAAGACTCCATTACCTATTTTTGTAAAGGTAGTATAGGAGGCCAAAAGACTAAAAATGCTGTATAGCTAATTTAAAAGTCAGTAAGTAATACATCTCTATAGTATAAAAATAAATATATTTGAAAGAAATGCTATTTATTACAAGTCCATATATTCTGACAAATCTAGATCAGGTTAAAAAAACTAAATTGTGACTTAAGATCTCAAAAAGAAAGCACAAAAATCTCTGACTGGATGTTAGTCAACATTGTAAAATCAAGAGTTTTATTTTTCATGTTATAATTAAAATAACTTGCTTTTAAATATACATTCATCTTATACATTTAAGTTCATAATATTTATATATTATAAAGTCAATTGTATTAGAAAATGAGGTTGTTTGTAAACACTTTATATCTGAAATTGTAGATAGTGTTGCAATCTTCTATCAGCCTTAACACCTAGATGTTTTTCTCTATTTTGTTTTTGTTATGTTATATGGAAGACAATCCAATTTCCAAATGATATGTAAATGGTAACAGTTGTTCAAAAATCCACTTCTCCTAAAATCTCAAGCTATTCTTCAACTAAATAGCAACAGCAAAGTTTATTAGATGAGCACAAACACACAAAATAATCTAGCAGCACAATTAATTGGTTGTAGCTCTAAGGGTATTGTATTAATATTTTATTGTATTTCTCTATTATAAATTTTAGATAGTATATATAAAAACCAAAACATATATATATATATATATATAGTATATATAATGTGTATATATAGACATATGTAAATATATTTTTAAAGTATATAAAAAATAAAAAGACATAAAAGTTTTTAAAATATTTATGTGTTTTTGGGAAAGAGAGAGAGTGAGCAGGGGAGGGGCAGAGAGAGAGGGGGACAGAGGAACTAAAGCAGGCTCTACGCTGATAGAGAGCTCGATGCAGGGCTCAAACTCATGAACCAAAAGTTGAGTTGACCTGGGCCAAAGTTGGATGCTTAACCAACTGCACCATTCAAGTGCCCCAAAAGGACTTATAATATAGAGCAGCAATATTCTTCCTTCCTCTTTTAGTTCTGTTTACTAGAGACAACCAGTAAGTCAGTTACAATACTTTGAATTTAGATTAACGCAAAACGTTTAAATAACATTACTATACAATACCTGGTTGGGGGGAGGGAGGAAGAGTATAGAGAAATTGCTACTCCATATATTGTTGATGAGAATATAAAGTGACAAAAATTTTTTGAACAGCAATTTGGGTACATCTATTTTTTAAATATATAATATTTATAAAATACACATAAATTTCAACTTAGCATTAGAAATTTATCATACTGGGGTGCCTGGGTGGCTCAGTAGGTTAAGCGCCCAACTTCGGCTCAGGTCATATCTTGCAGTTTGTGAGTTCTAGCCCTGTGTTGGGCTCTGCACTGCCAGCTTGGAACCTGGAGCTTGCTTCAGATTCTGTGTCTCTCTTTCCCTTTCCCCCACTCACACTCTGTCTCTCTCTCTCTCAAAAAAAAAAACACTAAAAAAATTTTTAAAGAAATTTATCATACTAATACAGGTATAAATGTACTCCAAAAAATATATTTAATGATATTCACTGTGGTGAACACCTAAAAATAATCCAAATGTTGCACCAATAGGTCACTGGTTAAATACAATAAAACACAATGCAGCCATTAAAAAGATTAAATCTATATATTCTGCTACAGAGAGATGTCCAAAGATATATTATTAAGAGAAAGAAGAAAATTACATTAGTATTTTAAAAAGGGATTTAGATGTTGACACACACAGTTGTAAATAAGTGGACAGTTACTTTGGGGTAGTAGGAATGAAAAGTTAGGGGACTTTTCATTTTCTGTATTTGTTTAATCATAACACAGTATTACTCTTATAAATACAGTAAATAAATCAATGGCACAACCAGGAAGCCTAACAACTTTCATTATATGAACTATTTAGAAATCCTACCTAACCATGTGGCTAGGATTGAGAATCATCTGCTTTAAGAATCTATCCAATCACGCCCTATAGCTCAGTCACCACAAGAAGCCAACATCTCCCAGATAATCCTTTATATCACTGTCTCTCATTTCCATTAAACTCTGTATGTTCCTTAAAATGAACCAGACTCCTAAAACTCCTCTCCAATCTCCCTAACCCTTTACTGTGCTCTCTGGAACTCAAGGTCTGTCATCAGCAAATCTACCTCCAGCCTCTTCTCTGAGCATTCTATTCCTTTCGCCTTCTTACACTAATCCATACTTGACTCCCCTGAATATACTGTTTTCCTTGGAGCCCTCTCAGGCAGTGCCAGTCTTCTCTTTCATCTCTCATATAAAGTAGGTTAAGTGTCTTCCTTGTTCCTCATTGCCACCTACCTTCACCCTAAAAACCTTTAAAATTTATGTTATCAGGCTATTTTATTGATTATACACTACCATTAGAGTTTTCAGACCTCCATTATCATATGACCTCATTATTTGAATATTTTAGCACATATCTTTGCTGTCTCTTTCCACAATTCTTACACATTTTCAGTGATTTCAATATCTATACAGATGATCCTTCCAACACTCAGACATCTCAGTTTCTTGACTTCCTCACCTCCAATGATCATGTCCTCAACTTCAACTCAGTCCCATTACCATCCCATAGGCCTTGTCTTTACTAACAACTAAATAACCTCTATAATTACCAGTTCCTATCTTTCCAAATCACTCAGGGGAGTGAATTCACTCAGTGAATTGATTCAGGGGAGGGCACTGGGGCCTCTGAACAAGAAGGCTGGGTCCCTTCCCTCCACCCACGGTGGGAGAGAGAGAAAGCAAAAGGCGGTTGTTTTGGCCCTCCTGAGTCTCAAGGAAAAGGGGAAAGCCGCTGTTTTGATGTCAGGAATTTTGGGAAGGGAGGAGGGGGTGCTGGGTGGGGTACAGGGCAGTTGGAAAAACTGGCAGATAACCAGATGGTAGCTCTATGTGTCCTTCGAGTTGGGGTCACTCCAGTATGGTGGTGGGGGGCTCCCCACTGTTGATAGGGGCTGAGGTCTCCGGGGCTGTGGGCTGCCTGGGTCCGGGCGGCTGCTGCCGCCACCACTGGAAGTAGGGGCGGTTTCGTGGGCGCTGGGGCTCGGGCCGGGACACTTCAACAATTTTAACTCCACCAGGGCCTTTAATCCATGTTCCCTGCAATCTCTACTACTCTCTTCCCTTGGTCCCTCATTAAAATCAAACTCTCAAATCTCTTACTCTTCTGCCAAACTCACTTTGTAAAATCCTGTTTAACTCCAACTCTCTCCTTATTGCAGCCACCACCCAAACAGCTGAATGTGACCAAAATAAAATTCAAACATACCACCTTGTCTGCCTTTAATTCATGATCACTAACTTTAAGTTAGTGTTGTCTAATAACTTACTATATTTTGTCTTAATCATTTCATTCTCCTCCTTCCCTCTCCTCATTTTTGAGAAAACATAAATGATTAGAACTCATATAAGCTCCCACCAACAAATCTACCAAACTATGTGCACCCATAACCATAAACTCTTCCATTACAATGGTAAAACTGTCCATGCTCCTAAGCCCATCTCTTCCATTTACCTAATTAGATTCCATCCCCTATCAACAACCAAGGATATTACTCCTGAAATTATCTTCTCTCTCCAGTATCAACATTTCTACTCTATAAGTCATTTCCAACAGTGCAAAGTATCTCCAATGTTAAAATATAAGCTTCTTTAAAAAAAAAAAATGCTTATTTTGAGAGTGTGCGTGCGTGAGTAGAGGCAGGGGGCAGGGGCAGGCAGAGAGAGAGGGAGAGAGAATCCGAAGCAGGATCCATCCTCAATGCAGAGCCCAACATGGGCCTCAATCCCATGAACTGTGAGATCATGACCTGAGACAAAATCAAAAGTCAGACACCTGACTGAGCCACCAAGGCACCCCTAAAATATGTTTCTTGACCAACATCTCACTCCCCCAGCCAAAATCACATTTCTCTGCTGTTCACTACAACCAAACTTAAAAGAGCAATCTACTTGCTGTCTTAACTTTCTCTACTCCCACTGTCCCTTAAAAAAATTATTTTTTATTACAGTAAAAACACAAACATAAATTTTACCATCTGTATCATTTTAAGTAAACAATTCAGTGGTGTTAAATACATTACCACCATCCATCTCCAGAATTCTTCACACCTTGTAAAACTGAAACTCCATATTCATTAAATAATAATTCCCCATTTCCCTCTCTCCTAGCCCTTGCCAACCACCATTCTACTTTCTGTCTCTATGATTTTAACTGCTCTAAGTACCTCTAAGTGAAATCATGTAGTATTTGTCTTTTTGAGACTAGCTTATTTCATAATGTCCTCAAGGTTCATCCATGTTATAGAATGGATTAGAATTTCATTCCTTTTTAAGATTGAACAATATACCACATTTGTTTATCCATTCATTTGTCGATGGACACTTGGGTTACTTCCACATGAAAAATGCTGCCATAAGGTGCACAAATATCTCTTTGAGATCTTGCTTTTAATTCTTGTGAGTATATACCCAGAGGTGGAATTGCTGGTTCATATGGTAATTCTATTTTTAATTCTTTGAGGAAATTCTACACTGTTTTCTACAACAGTTGTACCATATTGCATTCCCATGAACAGTGCACAGGGTTCCAATTTCTCTATAGCCTCCACCAATCTTGTTATTTTCTGTTTTCTTTTGACAGTAGCCATTCTTATGAGTGCGAGGTGATATCTCATCGTAGTCTTGATTTATATTTACCTGATTATTAATGATGTTGAGCATCTTTTCATGTGCTTATTGGCCATTTGTATATCTTCTCTGAAGAAATGTTTATTCAAATTCTTTGCCCATTTTTGAATTGGATGTTTTTTGTTGAGTTTTAAGTGTTCTCAATATATCCTAGATATTAATATGTTATCAGATATATGATTTACAAATATTTTCTTCCATTCTATGGGTTGCCTTTTTACTCTGTTGATAATGTATCTATGTGCAAAGTTTTTTATTATCATTAAGTCAAATTCGTCTACTGTTTTATTTTTTCAGTTTTTATTATTTTAATTTTTGAGAAAGAAAGAGACAGGACATGTTGGGGAGGGGCAGAGAGAGAGGGAGACACAGAATCTGAAGCAAGCTCCAGGCTCTGAGCTGTCAGCACAGAGCCTGATGCTGGGCTTGATCCCATGAACTGCAAGATCATGACCTAAGTTGAAGTCATAGGCTTAACCAATGGAGCCACACACGCACCCCTGTCTACTGTTTTCTTATGTTGCCTGTGTTGTTTGGGTCATACCCAAGAAATCACTATAAAATCCAACATCATGAAGCTTTTGTCCTAGGGTTTTTTTTTAGGAGTTTTACTGTTGTAGGTCTTACCTCTAGGTCTTTGATCCACTTTGAGTAAATTTTTATATATGCTATTAGGTGTGGGTCCAATGTTATTCCTTTGTAGGTAGATATCCAGTTTTCCCAGCACCATCTGTTGACAAGATTGTCCATTGCCTATTGAAATCTTGGCACTTTGTCAAAAATAATCTGACCATACAGGCAAGCATCTCACTCTCTATTCTATTCCACTCTCTATTCTTTTTTTTTTTTAATATGAAATTTATTGTCAAATTGGTTTCCATACAACACCGTGTGCTAATCCCAACAGGTGGCCTCCTCAATACCCATCACCCACCCTCCCCTCCCTCCCACCCCCCATCAACCCTCAGTTTGTTCTCAGTTTTTAAGAGTCTCTTATGTTTTGGCTCCCTCTCTCTCTCTTTTTTTTTTTTCCTTCCCTTCCCCCATGGTCTTCTGTTAAGTTTCTCGATCCATATAAGGTGAAAACATATGGTATCTGTCCAGTTCCATCCACGTTGCTACAAAAGGCCGTATTCTTTCTCGTACCAACTGATGACTTGTGCATATAAACCACAATTTCTTTATCATTCATCAGTTGATGGACTGTCTTTCCATAATTTATTATTGTTGAAAGTGCTGCTACCGTATTGAGGGTACAAGTGCTATGCATCAGCACTCCTGTATCCCTTAGGTAAATTCTAGCAGTGCTATTGCTGGATTAGGGTAGATCTATTTTTAATTTTTTTGAGGGTGTACACCTGCTTTCCAGGCTACTAGGTTGCATTCCTAACGAGAGGTTCCTGATTCTCCACATCCTCACCAGCATCTATAGTGTCCTCATTTGTTCATTTTAGCCACTCTGACTGGCATAGAGACCAGATAAGCCAAAGTAATATTATTGAAAGACCAAAGTGGGAAGCAATCCCAGACTTTAGCCTCTACTACAAGCTGTAATCATCAGCATGAGTATTACAGCACCAAAAACAGACACAGAGACCAATGGAATGAGACTCCAAATTGGACCCACAAAGATATGGCCAACTAATCTTTGACAAACAGGAAAGAATATCAATGGAAAAAAAAGACAGTCTCTGTAAATGGTGCTGGGAGAACTGGACAGCAACATGCAGAAGGTGAAATTAGACCACTTTCTCACACCATTCAGAAAATATAAACTCAAAATGGATAAGGACTGAATATGAGACCAGGAGCCATCAAAACCCTAGAGGAGAAAGCAGGAAAGGGCCTCTCTGACCTCAGCTGCAGCAATTTCTTACTTGACACATCTCAAAGGCAAAGGGAATTAAACAAAATGAACTACTGGGACCTCATGAAGATAAAAACTTCTGCACTGCAAAGAAACAAATCAACAAAACTAAAAAGACAGAATGGGAAAAGATATTTACAAATGACATGTCCAGTAAGGGCTAATATCAAAATCTATAAAGAACTCACCAAACTCCACCCAAAAAAACAAATAATCCAGTGAAGAAATGGGCAGAAAACATGAATAGACACTTCTCTAAAGAAGACATCCAGATGGCCAACAGGCACAAGAAAAGATGTTCAACGTCACTCCTCATCAGGGAAATACAAATTAAAACCACACTCAGATACCACCCACCTCACATCCACTCTCTATTCTATTCCGAGCTCTCTACCCTATTCCACTGGTCTGTCTTTATGCCAGTCATATTGTTTTGATTACTGTGCCATTATAGTAAAGTTTTAAATCAGCAGTGTGAGTCCTCTAATTTTCTTCTTCTTTTTCAAGATTGTTTTTGGCTTTTTGGGGTCCCTTGAGATTCGATATAAATTTTATGATAGATTTTTCTACTTCTGCAAAAACCATCATTGGGGTTTTGATAGGGATTGCACTGAATATGTATTTCACTTTAGGTAGTATTGACATCTTAACAATATTATATACTCCAATCCACGAACATGGGATGTTTTCTCATTTATAGGTCTTCTTTTTTCCAACAATGTCTTTTTTATTTTTTATTTTTTGACAGCGTGCATACACACACAAGTTGGGGAGAGACAGAGGGAGAGGGAGGTAGAGAGTCTTAAGCAGACTCCACACCCAGAGTGGAGCCCGAGTCAAACCTCAGCCAAAATCAAGAGTTGGACACTTAACAGAATGAGTCACCCAGGCCCCACAACAATGTTTTATAGTTCATTATGCAAGTCTTTAACCTCTTTGATTAAATAATTCCTAAGTATTTTATTCTTTTTGATATTA